CTCTCTCTCTCTCTCTCTCTCTCTTACTAAACTGTTTTATGAGTGTATATATTATGCTCCTATGGGAGCATATTGTTAACCTATTCCCTCACTCAAAACAGTTATTTAGGATTTTTTTTGTCTAAAATTTTGGAAATTATAATAGGGTTACTAGATGATTATTTTCAAAATAAAAAAAATTTGAATTTTGATTTTTGCGATACGGTTTCTATTTAGTCGTATGGCATTGGCATTGTTTAATATATAAGTAATAAGATTGTCTATTTATCTTATGTACATGGAGGTCATAGTAATTCTTGTCCCTTAAGTTTCAATATGGGTAGTTGCAAGAAGTGTCATTGAATAGACACAGAGTTTCACCAAAAAAAAAAAAAATTTCTTAGTCTTCGTAACTAATTTGAGCTATCCAATTTAATATCTAATGAGTGAAAATATTTGTGACATTCATGTACAAAAACTAAATGATCTCTTTGTAGATAATTCACTTCAACAAAATTTTGTCGAGATCATTCTATGGGTTGCAGAGATTACATCTCCAAATTTTCAAATCTAAAAAGTATCCTTAATTCGAAGGAGTAAATGTACAAAATACTCCCTAAAGAGCAGGAAATCTTTTAGGGCTTATTTAATTATTGAGGGGGCGGGAGTTGCAGGGTGGAGAAGCCAGAAGTGGAGAAGATAACGGTCGAGAATTTTAGCATGAGAAAGAGAGAGGGAATGGTCAAGAATTTAGAGCGAGAAATAAAGAGAGAGGGAAATAAGATAATGGTCGAGAATTTAGAGAGAGAAAGAAACTGAAGGCATTCGAGGTCAGAGCCTGGATTCCTGGTTTCTAAACCGGGATATAGGGACCAGGGGAGAGAACTATTCGATCTCTGCTGGGTTTTGGATTTCTGGCAGTTCTTGTAGAAGAAACTACATCCATGGCAGCGAAACCGATCTCTGATGGAGGACCTTCCTGGTATGAACTGAAGACGTTGGGTTCATTGGCGAAGGCTACACTTGCTTAAGGTACCCCAATACTTAGATTTTGAAGATAATTATTAGCTGAGGGATTGGTTTCCCACAAGGTACCATGTAAATATGATTTTGAGATTGAACCATGCGAAATTTGTCACTAGAAAAAACTTATATTCTTTCCACTATTATTTCTGTTTAATTTCTTCTTGTCCTGCTAAACTCGAGAGAATCCGAGACCATAGGTCGAGTTCTGAGAATGAATGGGAGAAAATCCTCAAGCCCTTTGGCCTTGAAGAGCTTCGAAAATCCTTTAATCGAATCACTCCACAAAGATTATGTAAATTACTTTTTCTTCCTCTCGACCTATCTCTCTCTCTTGAAATCTTCGAATGGGCAGCCTCTCAAAAGGGCTACTCCCATACTTATGATGTATATTATACACTCATTGATAAGCTTGGAACTTTTGGAGAATTTAAGGCCATTAATGAACTTTTGCGACGAATGAAAGAAGAAAACATTGTCTTCACAGAACCTATCTTTATTTTGATCATGAAATATTATGGGAGGCATAATCTACCAGGGAAAGCTGCTCGTCTCTTAGATGAGATGAAGGGCTCTTTTGGGTGTGAACCCACTTTCAGGTCTTATAATGTGGTTTTGGATATTTTGGTATCTCACAATTGTCATAAGATGGCTCCCCCTGTGTTTTTCACGATGTTGAATAGAGGGATTTCACCAACGGTTTATACATTTGGGGTTGCTATGAAAGCGCTTTGTTTGACGAAGCAGGCTGGAAATGCTTGTGCTTTGCTTAGAGAAATGACAAAGCACGGTTGCGTGCCCAATTCTGTGATTTATCAGACATTGATTCATGCTTTTGTGAAGGAGGATAATGTCAACGACGGTGTGAAGCTTTTAGATGAGATGTTATTAATGGGTTGTGTGCCTGATTTGGAGACTTTCAATGATGCTGTTGGTGGGCTTTGCAAAAAGGGTCACGTTGTTGAGGCTGTTAAAATGGTTGACAGAATGATAATCCATGGGTCCACACCAAATGCTTTAACTTATGGGATTTTGATACGTGGGTTTTGCAAAAGAGGCATGGTCGATGAGGCAAATGCTCTTTTGAGAGAATTGTCTGAGCCCAATGTAATTATGTATAATACTTTAATCCATGGGTACCTCAAAGAAGGAAGATTTAGTGAGGCCAAGACTTTGATGCATGAAAACATGCTAAAGAAAGGATGTGAGCCTAATGTCTATACGTATGGTATCATGATGGATGCTCTTTGCAAGGTGGGCAATGTGGGGTCGGCGAGAAGATTACTAGATGAGATGTTGATGAAAGGTTGCATGCCCAATGTGGTAATTTACACTATCTTGGTAGATGGGTTATGTAAAGCAAGGAGATTAGAGGAAGCGTTTGAGGTCGTAGAGGAAATGTCAACTCAAGGAATCAGTTTGAATGTTGTATGTTACAATTGCATTATACATGCTCTTTGCAAGGACCAAAGAATCAATCAGGCAATGCGACTTTTTGATAGAATGTCACAAGAAGGTTGCAAACCTGATATATTCACTTTCAATTCTTTGATCCATGGCCTATGCCAGGATGATAGGTTAGAGGAGGCTTTTGAGGTCTGTCGGGACTTGTTAGTACATGGTTTAATACCTAGCAACACAACTTACAATACCCTAATTGGTGCCCTACTGAGAAGAGGTTCTATAGAAGAGGCTCAAAACCTTGTGAATGAAATGATATTCAGAGGATTTTCCCTTGATGTTATCACTTATAATTCTTTTATCAAGGCATTATGCAGAGAAGGGGTGATTGAGAGGGCCTTGGGTTTGTTTGAAGATATGGTGAGAAGAGGAGTTGCTCCAAATAACATTTCTTATAACATTCTGATAAATGGCATATGTAAAACTGGGAATATTCAATCTGGTCTTGAGCTTCTAAAGGAAATGCTCCATCGTGGTTGTATGCCTGATGTTGTAACTTATAATAGCTTGATAAATGGCCTTTGCAAATCTGGGAGGATGGGAGAGGCCTTGAATCTCTTTGAGAGGCTACAAGGCGAAGGAATAAAACCTGATACTGTTACATATAATACATTGATAAGCTGGCATTGCAAGGAGGGAATGCTTAATGATGCCATCTTGCTTCTATATAGAGGAATTGGTAATCTGTTTGTTCCCAATGCCGTTACATGGACCATATTAGTGAACAATGTTTTCCAAAGAAGCAGTATATTGGCATAAAGGCAGAGGAGAGAATTCCAACTTTTTATCCACTGGTAATTAAATTGAAGTTCTTTCTTTCAATATTAAGAATGTGCGCTTAGTGGTTTATTCTCAAAAGGAAGTCCCTTTAATCCTCTCAGCTCAGTACATGTCTTTGTGACCCATGATATAAAATAAGACTGGAATGTCTTCTCAATTTCCTTAGTACATTTTGATACTTTTTCATCACTATGCTTGAGTGTCCTTTTTAGATTGGAATGTATAGCATAATGTGAGGGACATCAAATTCTGTTGAAATGATGGACAGAGAACATGATCCATTAGAATAAAACATGAAACAATTGTGTATCTTACTCTCTTTACGTCATGGTGTATCATTTCATTGAACAGCGATGATACAATGGACTTTGGTTTTTTTGTAGCCCATAAGGATATTGTTATACTTCTTGGAGCAAACAGTTGCAGATGTTATTCTTGATAATAATAGGTTAAGTGTTTCAAAAAGTGCTTGGCAGTAACCAGGCGGCCTTGGGGGTCCAGGCTGCCCAGCGCCTAGGCGGGCGCCCAGAACCTGGGCGGCCCAGTTGAAAGAAAGAAGATAAATTTTTTGAGAATTTTGATATTTTATAATCTATCTATAATCCATATTTAATATCTCCATGAAGGAGGAATCGAGGAGAAGCCGAGAAGTGAATTTTGATAATCCTTAAGACCATAATCTATGTTTTCATACAATGCTAAAACAGTAAAACCATATAAGCATACACTGATAGTCTGATACATACAAAAGTTAGATAGTAGAAACTAGAAACTAAAAATAAGAAAAAAAATAAAAAAATACATAAATTCAAAAAATATACGGAAATTCAGAAAATATACAGTCTAGGACACAATAGTCAATACTCAACACTCAACAATCAACAATCAACACCAAGAGTTAAGCACTCAAGCGTCTTCAACTCTTCATTCTTCAATCATCATCATTATCATCTGAAGGAGTAGAGTAAGCCTCATCATATGCATCAAATTCGACACCATCACCATCAAAGTCATCTCCCTCTTCAACGTAATGCTCGTCCTCCTCTATTTCTTCTGAATCTGCCTCTTCTTCCTCCTCTTCTTCTACCTCCCTCTTACTCTGGGCGTTGGGCGGGCTCCTAGGGTTTTCCGCCTATTTTTGGCACCTAGGCCTAAGCGATGTGCCCAGGCCCCCTGGACCGCCTAGGCGCTGGATGGTCCACATTTTGAAACAGTGAATAGGTTAGAGAATTCAATGTAGAAGTTCATAATTACCTTTACAATTGTTGAACTCATCAGTCTTCTCTGATAACCTGATAGTGTGTTGGGTTAATTTGCTTCACATTTTGATAAACTTGGACCTTTAAGACCATGGTTTTGTAGAGTGCCAAAGTATGTTATATGTATTCTTCTGTTTGGGTGCCATCCTCATGTCTGGCAGATATCAAGACATACTGATATGGATTCTCCTTGTTCACCGAGAATTGGTACATCATTGATTTGGACTTGGATCTTTTTTTTTTGTTCTAATTAGACACATGAACTTTGACATCTATGAATTCAACCAAGTCATAGCTACTCATCATGAAATAGGTCACTAGTAGACAATGTTGGGTTTGGTTTTCTCTTTATAATATAGCGTGTTGGCAACTCTTATTCTTCAAGGAATGGGGAATCCTATGCCGCATACCATGTCTGACACTTGCGCAAGTACCCATGGCCATGCAACTCAGGGATCCAACAATAGAAATCAAAATCTTAATATTGAGGGAAGACTTCTTGAAAGAAAGTAGTGTAATCTTTTCCATCTTGGAGAAAAACCTTTTAACGTCCTTCCTGTCACCTTGGCACTATATTTATACTTTTATTTTTTGGGTATAACCGATGATTATAAATGTTCCACTTTGTTTTTTGAATTGATGTGGATTAAAATATTCACTTACCTCTTGTAGATAGAGTTAATAATTCAAAATTATAACATGAGATTCTGAGGGAAAGATAATCACTGTTGCATATGGCCCTTAAAAAGTTCCTGTATAATAGAACAATAACCATGGCTTCTTGTGATGATTTTCTAGAAAATGGGTTTTCCATTGCACTGGTTTTTGAAAGTAACAAAGCATATGTGAAGCTGATGGCATTTCATTTGCGCTTGTTTGGGGAGGTTATGAACTGATACTAACATAAGCTTTGAAGATAGGGTTTTGCATGCCTTTGAGCTTCTTTTTCTAGATTCTTTTGCGCTTCAATTATGGTCTTAAAATGAACATGTATTTGTGGGATTTGTAAATAGGTCCAACAGTCAAAATTATAAATTATTGTCTCCTAATTACAATTTTGTGCCCCAGCATCAAAAAAATAAAAAAATTACAATTTTGTGCCTTTGTTTCTTTCTCTTTATTGTTACTTCATGTTAGTTTATAAATGCACTTGGGGAAAAATCATGCCCTTATATAAGGTCCTAGAGTTATGATTTTATTCTCTAAGCTTCTCATTCTACTTTATATTCAGTTCATAGCCTATATATATATATATATATATATATATATATATATG